GATCTTTTCACTGACCTTTTTTTCCCGGTTTTTTTGTATGTAAAATTAGTCCCATCACCACCAAGTTGCAGATTCTTAGAATCTCAAGGGCTCTTAATGGCTTTACAACACTGAAGATTCACTGGGAATCTGTCTGCCATAGTGGTATTATAATAAACCTCGACTTTACTGAAAAAAGGCTTAAGTGTTTGAATTCATTCTAGGCAGAATCCTCCTGTACCCTTACATTTTGGAGTTCCCAGTACCCCAAGCCACAACAATATTTCTTTCTAAACTTAATTAAAACCTCAAGGCCTTTCCCATGTAAGCTATTTTTCCCCATTTAGCTATATGTTCCCCATCATGCCCTTACTTACTTGATTTTTTTTAACCCAAATGAAGGACTTAATATTTATTAATATTGAATTTCATCAGCTGAACAGTTAGGCAATTGTTCAACTTCATGCAACTTTGCAAATCATGTGATGTATTTCCTGCCCCTTTTAGCTTAATGTCACTTGAAGATTTAAAAATTTATAAACATTTCACTTGCATTCTATAGATATATGCCTCCTAAATAACACAATTCAGGTGGAGGGGTAGAATTTTCATTAACCTTGGAGATGTCCTCTCTTACTGATCATCTTTTGATTTGGTGTCCATCGCAGTTCTTCAGCTCACTTTGACATTTAGAATAGTATATAATTTAATCGTTAATGTTTGCAGTCATCGAGACCTGATTTTGAACTTTGTCTCAGACACTAACTCTGGGAAAGTCCCTTGACCTCCATCTGCCTCAGTTTCCTTATCTCTGTGGGGTGTTACAGGGGTGAGGTCTTGCCAAGCCATTTTTCAGGGCTGCTTATCCACCTTTGGTGTCTAACTGGTTACCCAACCATCACCTGTGGCTCCAAGAAGCTGTACCATGTCCAGTGGACACACTCCAGTAAAGCTGTCTTGGCAGTTGAGGGTAACCAATAGGCCTCAAACCTGGGTGAGGGGAATGTCTGCCCTAAACATGTGAAGACCTCTCTCCAGATGGAATGGGCAGATGAGAACAATCTGTTCCAGTGGCCATGAAGGTGGCTGAAGCAGGCACTGTGCAGCACCTTGAGCTTGTTCAGATATTAAAAGACACTCCGGTCATCCACTGTATCCTGGGCTATTGCCTGTTGTCCTGACTCTTATTTGCCACTGACTCAAGAAGACAGTGAAGCTGGTAACTTTGTTCAACTCTGCCTCACTTAAATCCAGTTTATATGCAAGTCATCACCCTGTGATATCATTGACCCTCTTCAAAAAACAAAGGGCAAGCAACAATAAATAAACTTACCTCTCAGGGTTGTTATGAGGACACAAAATACTATTTGTAAAGTGCTTTGCATACTTAAAGTGATATGTAAATACTGGCCATCATCACCATTTTCATTATCATTTTTTCATTCTTGATATATAAACAAACTATATACCTGTTTTTCTAGGCATAAATACCTTTGATAAGGAGTTGTATGCCACTTCTAACACCAGGCCATTATTGCAATCAGTTTAGAGCAGCTATATATCTTGCCATTGTCAGCTGGATTATTTATAATTTTAACTCCTCTGTTCTTATATATTTTTTGAATCCAATAATCAATAGGAAAATATTTTTGTGAAAGCAATGTACCTTGGCAACAATAATTAGTTATGAAATCACTAAAAGCATGGTATAATATCCCAAATTCAGTCTGGCCTACTCTTATTTATTTTTGTACTCAGTTCTTCCAAGATATTGCTGGACTAATTTGTTGTTTTGACCTTTTATCTGTGAGGTGTAATCTGGGCAACAGACATTTTTCAACTATTTCATTTCACCAATAAGGATGATTTACTGACACTATTGTGGATTTTTATGGAGGTTTATGAATAATAATGATAATGATAATAATAACCAATATACATTTATATATTGTATTCATATTTGGAAAATACTTTCTCAACAACAATCCATTGAAGAAACGTTATTCTCTTTTTAAGCATGAGAAAAGCAAAACACAGAAAGACCCTGACTTGTCCAGAGTCACAAAGCTACTAAGTATTAGAGGGAGATTTTAAACTCAGGTCCTCAAACTCAAAGGAAATCACTGTTTATAACACTATGCTTCTTCATTTGAGAAGAAGAAGATTTAAGGAGCTTCAGTATGAATACGGGCCTCCTCTTTTGTTGAGAAATTTTGCCGGAGATATTCCTGAAATCTTTTTATTATTTACTTTTTTGTCCCCATTGTGATCATTACTGTTGTACTTTTCACAACAGCAAAAAGCAGACAACTTGCAATTAAGGAATATGTTTATTGTAAATGTGCATTTGCGCTAAAATAAAATTTGTCAGGTCTAAAATAAAGTGAAAGCAAGTAAATTTAAATGAAATCCCCAGATTTTGTGTAGCATAAAATTCAGCTGGTTCCCGGATGAGTGTATTCTCCAAAGGCACAGATAGTTATAGGCAGTGCTGTAGATTGAAATGTGAACTCACATGATTTCTTTATATTTATAAGTAATGGAAATTGTTACACTAAACCGTGAGTACTCTTCCTATTACAATATCTATATGTAAAGGAGAGATGCCATATTGCCAAGAGTTAGTCAATGTAAATAATGGCCAAGTAGACAGATGGTATAACAATTTAAACAAACAGTGAGTAATACATGAAAATGTTGGCAGATGTTAATGACATACCTGTTACTAACACTGTTAAACACAGTGTGAAAGAATCCTGCAGTAATTTTGAATAATTTCCAAGGATAGCACTGTGTTTAACTAAAGTGACTTAGGATGTAGGTGAAGGATAGCTAATAATGAGAATGATGGGAATAGAGTCAGAAGATCAAATTTTAGTGTGGATGCTGTTCCTGTGATCAATAACAAGACAGTTAAATTCTCTGTTTGATATTCCTGCAAGAAGAGGATAGGCTTTGCCGTCTGTATTCATATCTTGATGTTACTACTTACTTGGCAGCTAGGCGGCACAGTGGGACTTTGAGCAAGGAAAACCCCATGTTCAAATACAGCCTACTTAGTAGTTGTGTGACTTTGGATTAGTCACTGAATCTCTCTAAGACTCAGTTTCCTAATTTGTAAAATGGGGATAATATTGACACCTACTTCCCAAAATGAAAGATTAAATATTGTATAAATAGTGCTTTGACAATTTCAAAGTATTACGTACACTACATAGTTTTAATTAGCTATTATTACTAGCTATGTGGTTTTCTTTGGGCTTCTATTTCTTCATCTGCAAAAGCAGAGTTTAGCTTAGGTGATATATGGTGTACTTACCAGTTCTGAATCTTTTATCCTAATTGTCCTTCTTACATCATACAGATGTGATTTTAAAAAAAAAAGGAAAATACACATGAAAATGCTTTTAAGGAATTTTATCATTTGGGGAGACATGTACTTTTCTCTCTCTCTTTTTTTTTTCCCTAGACAATTGAGGCTAAGGACTTGCTAAGGGTTACACAGCTAGGGAGTGCCAAGCATCTGAGGCCAGATTTGAACTAATGTACTCCTGACTCTAGGTCCAGTGCTCTATCAGCTGTGCTACCGAGCTGCCCCATGCACTTTTCTTTCTCAGTTCTTGCTTTCATTGTTGATGTCTTTCTCTTCGACTTTGGCACTTTTTCCCTCTTAGTCTCTCTGTATTTCTGTCTCTGTTTCACTCTCTCTCTCTGTCTCTCTCTCTCTCTCCCCCTCTCTGCTTCCGTTTCTATTTTCCAATTTCTCTCTCTCTCTCTCTCTCTCTCTCTCTCTCTCTCTCTCTCTCTCTCTCTCTCTCTCTCTCCTCTGTTAGTATTTGCTCTTACTTTCTGTTAATTGCCTAATTGAATCTGAGGAGGTTTCTATGATGCAATTAACATAACAAAGATAAAGAAAGAGTCTCCTTAATATAACATAAGAGACTGCATTAATATAAAAAAATGTAAGGTGAGAAGGTCAATGTTGGGTTCTAGAGCCTGGAGATGAACTGAATCTCAATAAAATGTACATAGAGCTTTTAGTGACTTATCAAAGAAGGAAACATTTGAATTTTCACTTTTCAGAAAAAAAAATCTTAGTTCAATATAGACACACACCCCTACAAAAATAATTTATATAAAATAAAAATTATGCTTCTCAATACCAGCCTTATAAAGGGAGAAATGAATATCTGCCAATAGAATAAAACTATATAGGGTATCCCAAAAGTTTTAGAGCAGTTTTAAGCTATTAAAGCTGAAACATTGGACAACCTTCATCCTCTAGGGGTCAGCTCATGAAGTAAAGGATAAGTGAGCAATGTCCATGTGGACAGCCATAGATGGTTGGATGTAGTTAGGATTTGAACAGGATGCATAGGCATGAGTGAGTTATTACCAGTATGATTGGAGGGAACACTTACACCAATGAAGAGTTATGTATTAGACTGACTAAGGAATCCACTGTTTGGGAGAAGATCCTGCTCAGAATTAATATCCACTGAAGATTACCTTTGGATGATGATCTCTTGATCTCCCTGTTTTCAAATATATATTTCCTATGTTTTCACAATAGATCAATTCCATCAAACCTCAGAAAATTATGAAGACTTCTAAATGAGATCTATAATCACATAAAAAGCTTTGACTTATCTACTTAAGAAAAAAATGTAGATGAATTCCTACTATCAAGAAAGCCTATATGCCATTGAATGCACATGTATGTGTATACACCTACATATATACATATATATGCATACATATATACACACACAAAATGCCTATAGATCTATCTGTCTCTCTCTCTATATATATATACTCACACATAATTATGTGTATGTATATATATTTATATATACACATATACATATGTATATATATTTATATATACACACACATATATATATACTCATCAATGTAAGGTTAAGGACTATTAAAGCTTAAAATTGCACTAAAAGTTTTGGAACATCTTGTATACAAGTGTATATATGTGTGTATGTATATGAACATACCTTAGATAAGAATTGATAATAGTCAAGTTGAGTTCAGAATTGAATAGGAGGAAGGAAAAGGCCTGGATCATTTTCTGTAATCATTCCCAGATTTCCTGTAATCTTAAAATCAAAAAAAAAACCTTTCACTTCATCCTACTATTTTCTAAACCATTATTCTATATTGCTTCTTTTTTCATAGTCACATTTCTAGGAAAAAAATATGGATATGCTTTGACTCTTCTTTCTCATCTCTTACTTTTCAATCCTTATATTCTAGCTTCTATGGCCACCATTTGACTAGTCATCAGCCATTTTTTCTTTTTCTAAATCCAGTAGTGCGTCCTTTATTCTCTGTCCTTTATTTCTCTGAAGAATTAGATTATGTTGACCAACTCTTTCTAGATGTTTTCTCCTATCTGGGTTTTCATGACATTACTATCTTGTTGGGTTTTTTTTCCTACTCCCTTCCTGACCACTCCTTTTCAGTCTCTATGTTGTATCATCACCAATATTTCCTCTTTTTATGCTTGGGTATAAGGGTTCAGATTTTCTCCCTACATTATCTCTATCTCTGTCTCTGTTTTCTCTTTCCTGTCTTCTCTCTCCCTCTGTGTCTCACTGTATCTCACTCTCAGCGGCCTCCCTAACCCCCATTCAACTATCATCTCTATTCAGTTAATATCTAAATCTCTTTATCCAGGTCTTCAGTCCTGCTTTCCATCTGTTTACATTATATTTAGCATGTCACAAACTTAACTCATTATCTTTCTTCCTAAACCCACCCAATCTTCTCAATCTACCTTTTTTCTGTTAGGATATCACCAATCTTTTGATCATTTAGCTTAATAACCTAGGAGTAATCCTTGCTTGATCCTTCAATCTCATTTACTCTTTCCTATATGAAATTGTCTTTCTAATTACAATTCTCTCTCTCTCTCTCTCTCTCTCTCTCTCTCTCTCTCTCTCTCTCTCTCTCTCTCTCTCTCTTTTTTACACACACACACACACACACACACACACCCTACTGTAATTCAGACCATCACCCCTTCTTGCCTGCTAATTATTCTTCCTTCAATTAATCTTTCCCTCTCCACATCATGGCAAATTGATATATCTAAAGTAAAGGTCTGACCATACCAAGTGGAACACTGACTCAAGTCAGAGAAGTTGTATTAGATTCCCAGCTCTGCTACTCATTATCTGTGTGGCCTTTAGCAAAATCATTTAACTTCCTGGATCCTCAGTTTCTTTATCTCCAAAATAAGGAAGTTGGATTAGATGGTGTCTGAGGCCTCTTCCAACTCTAGATCCCTCTTTGATCCCATAATCCCTGCTAAAGAAATTTCAGTGACTGTCTATTGCTCCTTGGATAAAAGAAAATCTCCTTTCTAATTTATAGTCCTTAATACTCTGACTCCAGACTTTCTTTTCAGAGGGATGACACATTAACTTCCCTCACATGCTCTACATTTCAAACAAACTGGCCCCATTGCTGTTCCTAATAAACGACATTCCATCTCCCATCTTTATACCTTTGCACAGACTGTCCCCCATCCCTTAAATACTCTCTTAACTCCACTTTTTAGAATCCTTAGTTTCCTTCAAAGCTCAGTTCAACTATCACTTCCTATAAGACAGTTTTCCTGATCTCACTAGTTTTTAATACCCTGAATCGCTTTGTTTTTATTTTGTAAATATCTATATGTATAGCATGGACTCATTTGATGTACTCCCCCCCCAACTCTGACCCCATGTTGTAGATTGGAATGTTTATTGAACTCTCTTATATATGACTAGAATGGAAATAGTGGGTAAATGCAGAGATCCTAAAGAATAGGCCATATACCTTCATATGTATAAAATATGCACATATACATATATTTGCATATATACATATACATACATGTATAAATATGTATGTATATGTATATATGTGTATGTATATATTCATATATTTCTATAAGTGCTAAAATGATCTCCTTTTTTTTAAAATTAGGCAATTGGGGTTAAGTGACTTGCCCAGGGTCACACAGCTAGTAAATGTCAACTGTTTGGCCTGAGGCTGGATTTGAACTCAGGTCTTCCTGACTTCAGGGCTGGTACTTTATGCACTGTGCCACCTAGCTGCCTCCTGATCTCCTTCTTTATATTGTAAATGAGGACATTGGACAAGATAACATTTAAGTACACTCTCCTCCCCCCCCCTTCCAATTCTAAATGTTATGATCCTATGACTAGTCTCATCTGTCTTGGCCAGAACATCTGTAATATTATTTCCCTTTCTCTTTATTTAAATGAGGTAGCATGAAATACCAGGAGAGATCTATTCATATACTATTTTTGACACTTTTTTGTTGGCTAAGTGATTCAATCACAACTTTTTTAGGAAATATATCATCAAATCATTTCATTTTTAGGAAATGGAGGCCCAGTGATATCATTTGCTTAATTTCATAGAGGATGTTCAGTAGTAAAGTTGTGATTAGAATCCTGATTCTCCAATAAAAAAAAAATCCAGTGCTCTTTTAACTACATGTCTTGCTACACTGAGGGATCTCTACATTCATCCTAGTAATTGGAATTTAGTCAGGCTATGTATAAAGGAGTCCAAAAAATAAAAAATTCCAGTTTGTGTGTGTGTGTGTGTGTGTGTGTGTGTGTGTGTGTGTGTGTGTGTCTATAGAGTGTTCCTCAGCTCTCCCTGGGAACTGGAGTTGTAATTACAACTTTTGTATTCTGAGAGCCATGTTTATTTATTATGTAATCATCAACTTCATTTTTATAGGTGTTGCACTCTTTTAATGGGCACAGTAGTTTTCATTTGAGAAGTTCTTATCCAGTTAGTGACATGGACATTCTTTGCTCAGCCTCTTCACATGAATCATTATGCCCTTTTCTTTAAGAATGATTTTAGTTGATTTGTCATTTGTAAGTGCCCATAAGAGGGCAACAAGGAATGTGACATTGTTATTACATTGTTATGCACTAAAATGGATAATCACATAGGCTTCTATCAGGGAAGATTTTATAGGTGTGTGTTTATATCTATTTCTATCTCTGTCTGTCTATCTCTCTATCCCATTCCCCTTAAAGTTGACTGGGCTGTAATAGACTATCTCAACAAAATAGAAGAGACAGCAATTCAATCCTGAGCTAAAGAAACCATGAGGAGCAAAATGGTGCAATGATGGTAAAGGAACTGAGCAAGGAAGAAATGTGATTGGATGAACCCTAAATAAATTAGAAACTCCTGATCAGTTTGTGGACACAGGTCCCTGAGAGCATGTGGTGCTGGGGATAGTCAATCTCCTACCAGTGGATGCTGCAGTGTAGGCTCAAGTCCATGCCAGCAAGTGAGACTTATGATACTAAAATGCTATTGCTTCCCTTCACCGTAGTATTAGGTCTCAACTTCATATTTATTAGCGCTGTTCCAGACAGATCTGTTTCTCTCTACATAACATATAGGCACAGAACATCAATATTATTCAGAGAAATTAAGTATTAGAGCATCAAAATATTTTCCTACTGTGCTTTATGGAGATTAAAAAATATCTTTATATCTTAGGCTATTCTCAAATATAAAATAATTACCCTAGGAAATATAGCAACTCTAAATAATTGGATGCACATTATAGTCAAATGATAAATATTAATATAATTCAAAATTATTATTGCCACTAAGAGACAGAGACAGAAATAGAGAGTCAAAGAGATAGACAGACAGATGGATGGATGGATGGACACACACACACACACACACACACACACACACACACACACACACACGCACACCAGAGAAATAAAAACAGAAACCAGTCTGTGATATGTTGCTGTGGTGGGGTGCGATAAAAATCACTTGTTTTTTCTCCAGCTAACTTAGCAGTTGTTATTTACAGAAAACAGAGGACCTTCTGGGGGTGAAATTAGAAAAATTTCATTACCACAATATCTCTCACATTCTTTTCTTTTGGAAGAAGAACCCTGAGGATATTTACCTTAGGCAGGGAGAATAAGATAAAAACAAAATTGAATTTTTTGACAATAATTTAGCTGAGAGCTTACCTGAGACACAGAGGACAGCTCAGTTAAAGTAGCTTCAGATAGCAGCTCATCAGCGAAGAGGTTAACAGAAGATTTCTAGCAATGTCAAAAGGCAGACAGATTTCATCTCAGTTTTATTTTTGTTTTTGTTTTCATTGTTGTTTTTTTTTTGTTTGTTTTGCTTTTTGGTGAGGCAATTGGGGTTGAGTGACTTGTTCACTCTGTGTGACTCCAGTTACAGCTAGGTGATGCAATGGACAGAGCACCGACCCTGGAGTCAGAAGGACCTAAGTTCAAATTTGGCCTCAGACACGTAATACGAGCTGTGTGACCCTGGGCAAGTCACATAACCCCAATGCCTAGAAAACAAAACAAAAACAAAAACCAAAGCCAGTGAGGGTCATGTGTCTGAAAGCCAGATTTGAAATCAGGTCCTCTTGACTCCAGGCCCAATGCTCCATCCACTGCACTAGTTAGCTGCCCTTCTCACTTTAGTTTTAGACCTTCTGGCAGAGCCTGACTGAGGGAAAGCGTTCCTTAGCCATTGGCTGAGCTAGCTGACCTGGAAAGCTGAAGGGAACTTCATAGCTATTGGGTAAAAAGCGTGAACGCTGACTGCGGCTATTTGCAACCTTCCCTACATGGGAACAGTTGACTAACTGCAGAACCTCCTTTGAGTTTCAGAAGATGACACCTCAGCTTAAGAGGAGACTGAGGCACAGAGGGAGGCTGAATGTGTTGTATCCTCTCCTCTACAGGTCAGAGGTCTATTAACCACAGCAACACCCCAATAAATGATTGTGGCCAGTAAAAGAGTCAGTGGAAGAATTATATCTTCAGTATCACTAGTGGAGATTGTTTGAGGTTACTAGGTGAAGATAAAGTTGAGGATAAATGGACACCAACACCTGGTAGAGAGGAACAGAGAGCAGCATCTAGCAGTGAGAAGCGGAAAGCAATTCCTGGATTGGGGGGTGGAGGAGCTAGCCTGGCAGGGAGCATCACTATGACATCAGTAGAAGTTTGCTTTACCGTAACTGAGGCTAGTCAATTTCTGTGCTCTGCATGTGTCCTGGTCATGCATGCTCCCTGTGGGTACTTTCTACCATAGGAAGATGCCTGTGTGATTCCTGTGTGGCCCACACATAAATCCTTCTCATTGAGTGTGTATGGATCAATGGGAGAATGCACTCAAGGTTTATGGGGAAGAAAATCAGTAAAATGAATTGGTGAGGACTCAAGAACTATGGTTCAGAGAGGATTCTGACCTAAAACTTGTCAAAGCTAACTGGGTGGGGCAAAATTAGGGATGCCTCAATGTGTGTGCATGTATACACACATATATTATGTCATATTATATTGCTGTATCTTACATTATGCTATGTTATATTATCATCTTATATATCATAATCATCTTATATAGTATATTCATCATTCATTTTAATAAAACTACATACATACATATATACACATGCATATTATATATGTTTATGTATATATGTGTATATATGTGTGTGTGTGCATATATATGTTTATGTATATATGCATATATGTGTATATGTGTGTGTGTGTGTGTGTCTTGGCCTATCTCTATTTCTTACTATCTATCTATCCACCTGTATCTACCTAGGGTCAGTGACCTTTATGTAGATATCTTTTGTTTGCCTTTCTCACAGACTTTTTTCATTGTTTCCAGCAACTAAGGATTATATTCTCTACTTCTGAATAATAGTTTTTCATGTATTGCTACAATCAAAAAACATATAATGTATCACTTTACTAATGATGATTTGAGTTTATAGGCAAAATATTCCTTTATTTAGTTGTCTGTACTTGCCTACTACTCCACTTCCAAAGTTCAAACCTAAACACCTAAGTCTTCTCACAACCCCTGCCTTATCTCCTGCTCTCCCCTAAAATGCATGTCTTAGGTGGATCACTTATAATCCTGTGGCTGTATCTTTTTTGGGACCTTGAAACTTCTGCCTGTGTTGTTCTTCCTCTTTGAAATGTTTTAGTCCCCTCTTCTGAGACTGTTCAAGCTTAACTATCTTTCAGGGCCATCCTTAAGACCCACCCTCAGTGACTTAGATCTTGGATTGGATCTTATTGTTTTAAGATTTTTAGATAGTCACAGTGGCATAGCACAGTAATTGAAAATGAAAGTAGTCATGGAGCCTTTTTAAAATTATTTTTTAATTCACTAGTAAAAGATTACCTTATTGAAGTGTTTACTATAAGTTAGTTGTTTTGTTTGATAATTCATTAACTCATTCATTTTTATTTTTATTCAGCACAATGTTGTTTTCTTATGATAAATCTGAGATTCTATTTTGAAAATAATAATACAAATCAAAGCAGCCAGTGTTAATATGGCCCCAACTTTTAATTACAGTAGCATACTCAGCTTTGTATCCACACAAATTACTATGTGGGATATGCTGAACACTATGTGTACCTTGTTTGGCCTTAATCCTGATCCTTGCTCAGTTAGGAATCTCTAAAATCATTTCAACTAAATTTACACTAGGCTACCAGAACAGACAAGGAATATTTATTTTAAAAGTAAATCATTTAGTCAGAACTAAAATAATTAGCAAAGGAATAGGGAAAATATTTTAAATACTCACTTTTTAGGGATTGGGTTCTCATGTCAGAATGAAAAATGTGGGAAAGTCTGGTCTGAGACATATTCTGATGGGAGGCAAGGCATAACAAATATTTCTTGCATGACTAGAAATGAAGGTGGAAGAAAGATTCACTCATGCTGCATCTGAAGGCCCCTTCTCACACAGTCTCAGGTATAGTGGAAAGTTCTTTCAGTTCCTCTCACCTTGTTCTTGACATCTGGAAAGAGAAAATTGTTTTTCTTCCTCTTCTTTTATCTGATACTATCATGTTCATATTTCCACACTGTTTCTTCTCTCTTTTCTTGCTCCTGTACTCCTAATATAATCACCTCATATAAAGTTTTACAAGAATCAAAGTTCTTGAAACTTCAATGAGACCCGTCTTAGAGGTCCAGCATCTCATCAGGAATATTACCTATTTTTGTGAGTACTTTATTAGACGTAAACAATTGAATGCAATTTTTTTTTCAATACTACAGTGAAAAAAATCCTATTTAAAACAGCTACTTTCAGGAGCATTGAAGAGTGTGTCATTTAGCTCTCTTCTTAGGATTCATATGCTGAGAAGCTTATATTTTTCTTTCAAACAAAAAATTAAACAAATAAAAAGTTAACAATAATAATGGATAGCATTTATATAGACAACAGTTTGAGATTTGTAAAGCAAATTACAAAATCTCATTTGATCCTCACAACAACCTTGGGAGGTAAAGGTTGTTATTATCCCTGTTTTACAGATGAGGAAACTGAGGCACAGAAACATTAAATGATTTAACTAGGGCAACATAGTGCATAAGTAATTAGTAACAGATTGGAACTTGGGGCTTTCTGACTCCACATCCAGGCCTCCATTTACTGAATCACCTAACTGCTACTTTAATGCTTAAATTGTGGTTCAGTTGTTTCAGTCACGTCTGATTCTTCATGACCCCATTTGAGGTTTTCTTGGCAAAGATACTGGAGTGGTTTGCCATTTCCTTCTCCAGCTTATTTTAAAAATGAGGAAGCTGACAGCAACAGGGTTAAGTGATTTGCCTAGGGTCACACAGCTAGTAAGTGTCAGAGGCCACATTTGAATGCAGATCCTCCTAACTCCTGGGCAGTTCAGTGCACCAAATAACTGCCCAAAGTGTTATTTAAATAATGGTTAATTAAATAATGGGGTGAGTACAGAGTGCGAGGGGACTCCTCAGAAGGCTTATACTAGGTTTCTTATAGTCTATGATACCCCAACATTTTCATAATTAGATTCCCACCCCACCCCCACCCCAGGTCTTCTGGGAATAAGATATTTAAAGAAGCTTTGGGATCATGGAAAGCACATTTCTATGATTTTGAGGGATTTAAAAATGAGAAATGGATTTTACTCCCTGGCAAGGGCAAAGGCAACAGTATTACTGGCTACATTGAATAACTGCCTAAACCCTACAATTTGGGAGATTTATTAGATGCCATGTTCGTTATACATTGCTAACAGTACTTGGTGAATATTTATGAAATTGAGTTAAATTAAAATCTTATAATATATCCTCATATATTGAATTCATAATTAAACCCCATGATAATATTCCATGACTGAACAGAAAAATGCATATCAATGATGGTCCTATAAATGGCCCACACCAATAAAATATAGTTCTTCAAGTCACAGAAATTAAAGTGGGAGAGGGACTACTAATATAAATGCTATGCCTAACATGTAAGCAGAGATTTCTTAGCAAAAGGGATATTAGCACACGGGATGAAAATTCAAGCACACTTATTCTATAAGATGATATAGACTGTGGTTCAGCTCACAAAGTCAGGAATGTAAAGACCACCTTAGGGATATACAATTTTATGCACATACAAACACTTGATAAATAATTTTGAAAAAAATTAATAAATACATCAAAAGTGATCGTATTTAATGTTTCACAGTTTACAAATGATTTTTTCACAAACCTCTATGAGGTAGACAGTACAAGTATTATTGTCCTCTTTTAAATATCAAGAAATAGAAGACAGAAAGTTTAAGTGGGAACGTCTAGGTCATAGGACCAACAAGATGGAGGAGCAGACACTTTCTCCAAATCTTACAAACTCTGAAACTCTTTAAAAAGAAATTATAAACAAGAAACAAAGAAATTTCACCTGTTTCTATGGTATAATACATGAAGAAATCCAAAGAGTTAATAACCATGTTAACAGTAAGGAAGGTTAATTTCTAATACCTAACACACTCACTTAGCACCCGTCTCTTAATCACCAGTCATCGAACTCTTTTAGGGTTGTACGAATTGACCTCTGAGTTTGCAACAGAACTCAATGCTATTCCACAGCCTTCTGCTACCTACCCTGGTCTTACTGGAGCAGTAGTTTGACAGTGCTCTCTGCTGCAAGGCTAAGCCAGAGAACTAGAGTAGGATGTCAATATGTTTGTCTTTACCACACCACACCGCAAAAGCGATTGGCATCTAGCTGTGTCCAGTTCTGTCCTCCTCCACAAGAATCACTTGGGCCAGATTTCAAGGTTAGTGAAATGTGAATTGCCGAATTTCATTGAAGGCTGATACAGAATTGAGGTCTAGCCCCCATAAAACCTCAAATGAAGGGAAGGAGTCAAAAAAGGAGTGATAGGGAAACTTAAGGGGAAAAAAGAAATCTGTTAAAACCCTTGAGCACAAGCAGATAATCTGGCAGGGAAAACATTGATAACAGAAGGGAATATGATCTCCAGATAAATTGAATGATTTCAGCTGTCTATCTATCTATAACTACTGCAAGACAAAGGAAAAGACATAAACACCAGATGACGCAAAAGACCTTGTGTTTTCCCAAGAGAGCATGGAAATGCAGTAGATAATCCTGAATGGTTTAAAAGAAAGATAAGAATTGTGAAAGCAGAATTTAAGGTTTGCCTAGCATAAGTAATGAACAGAATGGAAAAAAAAAATCGAAAGTACTTTGACAACATCTCACCAAAAAAACAAAAGGGAGAACAACTAATTGGGAACACAAATACACAGAAGATAAGGACAATCTGGAAGAAGAGACACACACAGAAAAAGGTTAAAAAAACATGATTTACACACACACACACACACACACACACACACACACAGACACACACACATTGATCTCAAAGACAGTATTTGTAGAGATGACTTAAGAATTTTAGGTCTTCCAGAAGAACAGAAATAATAAGTTCCATATACCATAATGAAAGAAATAATACCAGAAAACTGCCTCAAACTTCTGTGTTCTGCATGAACCAAGAGAGAAAGAATATGCAGATTGCCTTCCAAAAATTTAAATGTCTAAGTTTAAAGCTGAAGTTTAAGTGCACAGTCACACTATTCACTTGTGGTGGCACAGCTGTTTGTGTCATTTGTCTTTTGCCCTCCAAGTCCAGTACTTCTTTCCACTTTATCTCACTGCTGCTTGTGCAAGAATGGCAGCATGTGTATGGTACTGGAAAATGTTTTATTTTCTTCAATATTCAAGGTCTAACTACTGCCTTGGGAGAGAAAATAGAATCTTTGAGACAGAATTATAATATTGAAATCAAGCCTTTTTGTTGATTACAGTCACATGCAGATTTACATTAACATTTCAGATACATTTAAAATCAGCTACTTATCTGTTGTAGGAGATAAATATGAACATTTCAGAAAGTTAAAATTGAATTAGTGGGACTTGACTGAAGTTCACAGTTTCAAAAAGCCACAGTATACATTTTTCTCTCTCCTTTTCAAACATTTTAGCTGTTCATTATGAACACTGGAATTACTAAGTAAATTTGTGCTTTGTCTCCAGAGATATATTCGGTTTCATAATCATATTATATTGATTGGAATTATCAATATGCAATCAGTGTTTCTCTGAATACTGGCTTTCCCCTTTTTCTTTTCTCTCCCTCTTTCCTCCAGACACGACAGCTGCGCTTTTCAATATTTGAAGTAACTATTCAGTAGTTGAATTTGAATGAGCATAGTATTTTATGTTAATTATTTCTAAAAATCTCCAAGTAGTTTTTCTTCTTGGTTATGTTTACATGTTTTCTTTAGAAATGAGAGGCCACAGTGAAGTTTTGGACCAAGTTGTTTCTTCTCTTCTTTCATTTTTTCTCAAGTGGGCTCATTTTACTTCTGAGTGCAAAAATAAATAAATAAATAAAAAGACATGGAAGAAAAGAAATGGTCTAGCATGTTCTCGATCTGTAACCACAGTGGGTGATTTTTGTCTTGATTATCTCATGTCCTGCTTTTATTTTTGAGAAAAAAAAAGTACTGTCAATGTTTGTTTAGCACCTGTAGTAAGACTGATAGACTCTGAGTTGCAATGAAAGAATCATTTATAAACATGACTGGCAGGTTCACTAGTCATGTTGACTAGTCACTAAAAATATGCAAGGACATGAATAAAATAAATACTTTTTTTAAGAGGTCATTCAAAAAACCTTTTAAACTTGGCATTCAAAGCTCCACAGTCTGGCCCCTATCTCCCTTTTCCAGTTTTATCTACCACAACACCTCCACTACAACCAAACTTTTTTTTTTAAACAACCAGATGTCATTCTCTGGACATTCATTCTCTATTTGTCTGCCTCGGGTCCTTTGCTCTTTCTATTCTTTCACTCTTTCTTTAATATTCTTCCTCACCCTTTCAGTTTCTGCCAAAACCATATACAGCCTTCAAGGGTCAACTCAAATGCTTCTACTTCTATGAAACCAATAACACTTATCATCTGTATCAGTTACTTATCATCTTTTGCCATATTGTACTTATTTATGCACATATCTTATCTCCTCTCCCAGAATATAAATTCTTCAAGGACACGATATCTTTGCATCCTTCAAAGTGCCTAGCATATACTAGCTGCTCAATAAATAGTCATTGAATTAAATTTTTCATTCCTTTCTGAATGAATCATTAGCCTTGTAAGTTGCCTTAAGGTCAAGCTATCTCATTATCCTCACTTTGATATCCCCAAAGACAAATGTGGTTTTTTAGTCCTCATATTCCCCCACTGTGCTACCTTTCAGGAATCCCGCCCCCATCTTGAAAGATAGCATTTATGTGCTATAAGGCACATTAAATGTTTTCACTTTAATAACGTAGTATAGCAGAGAACAAACTTACTTTTAAAAATGTGACAGAGGTAGTTATTTATCATCTGATAACTTCATTGTTTTGGTAGAGCTGTCTCTCATCATATTCATTCTATCAGTACCA